AGGCTGTAGCACAGCTGTCTGTTTAAAACGCCTCCTCTATTTATGCCCGCCTGAACCTGCTCAGCATGCGCGAGTGTTTAAGTCAATATTATTTTAGAGACTACCTCCCATCTATTATTAAGTAAATTGAGCCATCAGCGTCTTTGGCCGTTTTGAACCCTAAATGAAATCTATTTGCCAAAGGCCTGGAGGTCTGTCAGTGTGTAATACAATAATACACTGGATGGCGTGCTTGTTAAGAGAATGAATAATAATTAAAGAATAAGTCACCCCTAAATCGGAATTACGCTGTAGTTTACGTCAGATCAGTAGTTCTCAACGGGTTCTGCTTTGGAGCCCAGCTTTTACATTGGATGTGTAAATATTTTTAAATAAAAGTTTTTTATTGGCATCTGAAATTCCAAAAAGAACCTTTAACATCCATGGAACCTTTCCAGGTTCTTTATAGTGGGAAAAAAAGGTTCTTTGAATTATTCAAATGTTTTCACACTAAGACTAAAAAAATGGTTATTTTAACTTCTTTCACTGAAAGGTTTTTTGTGAAACCCCAAATGGCTCTTCTATGTCAATGCCTAATTTTGGGAGCTTAATCTTTAAAAGTGTAGTACCAAAATTGTTTATGTACAAAATGGAACAAAGATGTACAAAAACAAAGACAAAACACAAAACTGCACAAAGCCAACAAAATTCAGAAATGTGTACATGGCATACGCTCAATTTTAAAAATACATTTTAACAATAACATTTTGCTCAACACAGACCATTTTTATTATGGCTACACATTAATTTAAATTTAATAATTTTTTTTTTCCTCCAAGAAAGAGGGCTTTTCACGTCAACTGTGTTTAATTCCATGTGTATGGCTTGACTAGCTTTTACCAAATGACAGATGGATTTGACTGGAAAGTACTGCATAGCACGCTTTCATATCCATATGCACAATTCTATAGTCAGTTGCATTTCAATTCCTGTTAGCATTTTTGTCGCTACTGTTCGCGATCAGAACATTCCTGCACCCCATTTTTGGGTCACGACCCACCAGTCGAGAACCACTAATGTACATTATAAAAGTCAGTGAGGCACAGTGACTGGAAAAGCTCCAGATTAAATAAAAATAAACAAATTTCCAATGCAAAAAAAAAAGTAAGACTTTTAATAAATGTCAGCCAGGCAAAGTTAACACTCTTTATCAACTGAAAACAATTTCTAAACAACTGATTTGACATTATGTAGTTTAACTCCAGAATGAAGTAGGCAAGTGGCAATATGAACAACCCGTAACCCACAATTTGGCCCGTGCTGTCTGGCTCATCAGCGGCCTGTTAGTGCATGCAGGAAAACACTCCCTCAGACCCCATCGATCTGTTCCAAATCAATGCTTTTAAAAGCCTTACATAGCCTTTAGTTAAGAGCAAAAGCGTGCATGCTTCAAAATGACCCACCTATATTGATCAGGGTGTGGAATGAAGAGTGGATGAGCTTTTCACAGCTTTTCTCTCACTCTATATAGACTGTCCACAATTCACAGCCTGAAACATACAGTATGACAGGAATATTAGAAGACGTTTTCACCAAAAATTGTATTATGTCGTCAGTGCATGTTTTTGGTCTCTATATGAGTCATAATGTTAAATTAATGTATAATTTTAGTTAACATTTTTGAGAAGGAATTTTTTTTTTTTTAAACTCGTCATTGGATACTTCTTGTAACATCCTTTAAAAAGAAGAAAAAGCCCAAATGTATAGTATCAGATTTGGAATGTGTATTTCACAAAAAAAAAAGCCTAATTATTGAAATATATAATTTTTTTTATTAAAATTAGAGATGGCAAAATGACACCTCTATAAAAGACATTAAACATTTATGCAGTAAAGCATATTTAACAGCTGCCAACAACAGAACTAGAAGAAAGATATATTGGCAACAAATGTATCATCTGTGCAGTCAGGTCCCATTTTACAGCAATTACTAGTGATATTTTGTGTTTACACATCGAGAAAAGAGACGAAAACTCATCTCTAGCAGCCCTAAAACCCCCTTGTAAAGCAATAAAAAGATAAAATGACTCAAAATGATCAAAATGTGAGATTGGTCACAAGATGATTGGATAGTTTGGATAGTTTCGCCAGAGCTTCTTCAGTTACAAAGCTTTGAATTCAGTAAATTGTGAAATAGCATTGCGCCATGTATAAATATATACCCAAATTTAGAATTTACTGGAGGGATTAGAGAGCTTTTCAAGTCCTTGCAACCTCTTTTCATGGTTTTGTGTACAAAAACGTTGTATTACTACCCCTGTAAGCCACGGGGCCTGAGTCGCTTCTCTGATGTTTGTTGATGTCGGACTCTGCTATTCGAGCAGAAATGGGGAATCTGTGGTAATCCTGCCTTTCTTGCAAAGAGTTTACTCAATTTTGAATTTACACGTTTAATACCTTTTAAAATGCTCTTTGAACATTTTTAGCCCCTCGCTGTTCCCACATAACAGGAAAAAAGCAACACACAGTTCATAAGATGTTTTATGGAGCATACATTTAATATCTCCTCCACTTAAGAGTACTGTCCCATAATCCCCCTGCAATAAATGTTGACTTGTGCTATTTAAATTTACAATTTATCCACTGTATTATGCCCAGGAGGCGAGTGTTACAGTTATTGAGTGTTTTCTTTGAGTCAATGTGTAGCACAGTTGTGAGCAAACCAGGAAGGCACTGCACACCATTCTGCAAAGAACAGATGATAGAATAATCCATAATGGGACACAATATATGTAAAGAATATCTTGGGCACAATAAAATTGCAGATACTAAATTTTCTTTACTGATGTCTTCAGACCAGGGAGAGAATTTCATTAACTGGACCTGCAAGCATATAAAAGTGACTCTCGCATATCTATTCCAACATTTCTTAATAAAATGGGTGTGATTTATGTATTTTACGTTTAAAGAGAACATGTGCATAGCCACGAACAAAACCACTGATTCTAGAATATGCATTGCCAAATTTGCTTGAAAATCCAAAACATGATCCAAGTAGATCTAGCAAAAATGGCACAGATGATCAATGAGTGAAGATCTGGCCCTTAAAGCAAAGAAAACATTTAAATAATGTAATCAGCTGATAGGTATTACCAAAAATATTTTAAATTAGTACTTTGGCCTCTTGCACAAACATCTCACAATAAATGATAGATATGTAAAGAAAAGAATGTTTCCATACAATTTCCTTTTTAAATAGCTATAAAAAGTTGTATGCTTCCTGTAAAGTTCAGAAATAACGCTTTTTTATTTGCCATTGGTCATACTGAAAATGCGTTTAAATAAAGCAATAATAAATAAAAACACTAAATGTCATTGGATACTTCTTGTAACATCCTTTAAAAAGAAGAAAAAGCCCAAATGTATAGTATCAGATTTGGAATGTGTATTTCACAAAAAAAAAAAGCCTAATTATTGAAATATATAATTTTTTTTATTAAAATTAGAGATGGCAAAATGACACCTCTATAAAAGACATTAAACATTTATGCAGTAAAGCATATTTAACAGCTGCCAACAACAGAACTAGAAGAAAGATATATTGGCAACAAATGTATCATCTGTGCAGTCAGGTCCCATTTTACAGCAATTACTAGTGATATTTTGTGTTTACACATCGAGAAAAGAGACGAAAACTCATCTCTAGCAGCCCTAAAACCCCCTTGTAAAGCAATAAAAAGATAAAATGACTGTGTTGAATGTGAGATTGGTCACAAGATGATTGGATAGTTTGGATAGTTTCGCCAGAGCTTCTTCAGTTACAAAGCTTTGAATTCAGTAAATTGTGAAATAGCATTGCGCCATGTATAAATATATACCCAAATTTAGAATTTACTGGAGGGATTAGAGAGCTTTTCAAGTCCTTGCAACCTCTTTTCATGGTTTTGTGTACAAAAACGTTGTATTACTACCCCTGTAAGCCACGGGGCCTGAGTCGCTTCTCTGATGTTTGTTGATGTCGGACTCTGCTATTCGAGCAGAAATGGGGAATCTGTGGTAATCCTGCCTTTCTTGCAAAGAGTTTACTCAATTTTGAATTTACACGTTTAATACCTTTTAAAATGCTCTTTGAACATTTTTAGCCCCTCGCTGTTCCCACATAACAGGAAAAAAGCAACACACAGTTCATAAGATGTTTTATGGAGCATACATTTAATATCTCCTCCACTTAAGAGTACTGTCCCATAATCCCCCTGCAATAAATGTTGACTTGTGCTATTTAAATTTACAATTTATCCACTGTATTATGCCCAGGAGGCGAGTGTTACAGTTATTGAGTGTTTTCTTTGAGTCAATGTGTAGCACAGTTGTGAGCAAACCAGGAAGGCACTGCACACCATTCTGCAAAGAACAGATGATAGAATAATCCATAATGGGACACAATATATGTAAAGAATATCTTGGGCACAATAAAATTGCAGATACTAAATTTTCTTTACTGATGTCTTCAGACCAGGGAGAGAATTTCATTAACTGGACCTGCAAGCATATAAAAGTGACTCTCGCATATCTATTCCAACATTTCTTAATAAAATGGGTGTGATTTATGTATTTTACGTTTAAAGAGAACATGTGCATAGCCACGAACAAAACCACTGATTCTAGAATATGCATTGCCAAATTTGCTTGAAAATCCAAAACATGATCCAAGTAGATCTAGCAAAAATGGCACAGATGATCAATGAGTGAAGATCTGGCCCTTAAAGCAAAGAAAACATTTAAATAATGTAATCAGCTGATAGGTATTACCAAAAATATTTTAAATTAGTACTTTGGCCTCTTGCACAAACATCTCACAATAAATGATAGATATGTAAAGAAAAGAATGTTTCCATACAATTTCCTTTTTAAATAGCTATAAAAAGTTGTATGCTTCCTGTAAAGTTCAGAAATAACGCTTTTTTATTTGCCATTGGTCATACTGAAAATGCGTTTAAATAAAGCAATAATAAATAAAAACACTAAATATTCGCCCTCTTGTGCTCGAATGCGAGTTCTTTGCACATCTCCAGAGTCAGCCTGCTGTCTCTCGCTCTGTGCAACACAGCCTGATTAATTCCGTTCAGATGCGCGGAGTTTGAACCGGCGCCGTTCAGGTGTCCGAAAGCGCCATAGTTCGTGAAGCCCGCATAGAAAGGAGATGTGTAGTATAAGGGTCTGGGGGGAAAGGGGCACTGCGCTGGTGACCCGGCGGGCGATAACGCCCCTGATGTCTGTGACGCTTCGTCACTCCCCTTATCCGACGTAGCAATTTCGGCCAGAGACCACAGTTTGGGTTTGGGGGTCGGGTTTGCGGAGTGAAGAACAGATGTGGGTTTGCAGTTTTCACTGAGGGGCCTCTTGGCTTCGCTCAGCTCGTTTTGGGGAGAGGAGGTCGTGGGCACCGGAGACACAGACACTGTCCGGTTCTCTTCTTCTCCACAGTCGATGATAACACTATCCGTCGCGTCGTCGTCTTGATCTTCCGTGCGGTTTTCTGTGCAGTCATCGACAACTGCGATCAAATTATGATAGGATTATTAGCCTACTGTTAGGCATGTCTGTTAGGAACAGACACATAGCATGTAAAATATGTATAAGCCTACAATATTTGTAAAATAGACTAATAGCTTTTATAATATATATATATATATATATGCCAACGATATTTGTTCTATATAGGCTATAGGTCATACATACTATGGAACAATGACTTCTGGAAATCTATAAAAAATAAAATAAAATAGCTATAATAAATGTGAGAGGTTAAAGGTTTGTAGGAACTTTTTTGTAAAACCTGTTAGGAAAAAAAGTCTAATCAAAGGGATGCAAATTATTGTCCCCCTTTTGTTTTAAAATATTGTCGAGGCATTTTTTATTAAACGTCTGTCTTCCAAATCAAAGGCATTGCAACATACTGGGGTTATTTTGTTATCATGTGACAAGAAAAACATTCAAACAGTAAATTATATTGTACACCGTAGTTTGTCAAGGTTATTATTTAATTATTTATTTGTAAAAAAAAAAAAAAAGATTTAAAAAAAATATATTTTTCCTGAAAAGGATCTAAACCCTGTGGAAACTTATTATGATTCATGACTCAAAAGCTCCTGTATTAGCCTATTATTATTGAAAACTAGTTGTTTACAGTATGCATGGTGCAATAAAATTATTGCCTTTTTTACTTGATGGTTAAACCACAAAATTGTTCACCTTTTTGTAATCTCATACATCCTTATTTGTTATTAACATTTATTCAAACATAATATATATATATATAATGTGTTATATATATATATATATATATATA